TTTCAAAAAATGCCACTTTTCAAATGCCATTTTACAAAAATGTCACACTTTTGAAATCTTTACAAAAATGCCACTTTTTCAAAATTATTTTTTCTTTATATTATTTATATTTGGATTAATTATGTTTTATTAGAATTTAGTTTTGAGTGTTTATGAGGTTTTAGGTGTCAAAACATTTTTTAGAATTTAGAATTTTAAGATATAGGCTTTATAAATCTATAACTAGTGGCATTTTTGTCAATTGATACCCCTAAATGGCATTCTTGCAAATGTGCACACACAAAATGGGATTTTTATAATTGTCCCAAAAAAAATATACAAAATTAATTTCTATTAACATTTCTCTACAGAAAATACCTGAACATAGTTTTTTACCATTTGGACACATTTCATATAGGGTCTTACCATTACGATGGTATTGTGTGCAGCATTTACGTATCCAACTTCCTCTGATTCAATCTGTTCAAATCTTTTAGTGTTTCTTCTTAGAACCGGATGCATGTAACTTAGAGGAGGCTCACAAAAAGATACATTAGCTCTTGTGAAGACTGTGGAAAGCTATGAACTCATTCACGCTATCAGGCAAAGACTTTCTAGCTTCTAAAACAGTGGAAAATGTAATGGAGGATGCCATGGAACATAAAAACATAAAGAGGAAGAGCAATCTCAGATCTAGAGCATAACACATAACTCAGGCTCCTTGCTGGAAACCTCTTCATATAGGTGTTCTGAAATGTAATATTGATGGTTAATGGAAAGAGAGTTGTTGGTGATTGAGCTAGGATGGGTACTAAGAGGTTCGACAAGAGTTGTGCAATGACAAGGTGCTCCAGCTATACCAAAACATCCCTCTTCTTTAATGTTGATGTTCATAGACTAAAATGGACAATGCAATGCGTAAGAGAGTTGGGATTCGCAAATAATGTCTTAAGACTGATGCGAGAGAAGTAGTTTCAACAGTGAAAGCACCAGTCTTGGGCATCTGTGAAAGGCTTATTCAAAACATTGAAGTGCTTCGATAAGATTCATATGAGGGGACATCATGTTTAACCATCGAGCTTCAAATCGAGTAACATACACAAGCTTATGAGTTATGACTTGTATTGCCATTCAATTGAGCCAAGTGCCCAAGTTGGGATAGTGAAAGGCTTATTTCATCTTTGCACAAATGAAAGTTTAGTTGTGGAGTTGAAGACGCAAGCTTCACCCATTGTTAGATA